GCACTCAAAGCTACATGTCCAAAAGCTACCAAACTGTTCAATCAAAATAAGGGTACGAGTACAAACACAAAATTTGATCACATTCGGCATGCCAGCAACCTGTGGAGCCAGCAGGCACCGGTGGTCGCGAGTCCGCCACCTCTGAGTGCGAGTCCTTGCTCTCGCTTCGCTTCTGTTTCCATGCATGGAAATCCCTATACACGAGATCGTCAAGTTCCGAAACACTACGACTCAAAAGAATCCCGTTGAGATGCCGAATGGGGCAAGACAGGAAAGCTGCTTTCAGCATCTGAGCTCAAACTCTGAAATGCAAACCAACGGAATACAGAGCTTGTTTTCTTCCCCCTATTCCGAAATGTGCAAGAATCAACAATCCCCGCGTCTCCTGGCCGACCTCCTCCCTCCCTGCTGAAACTCAACCGAGGAGCAATCCTGAATCCGTTGAACTGCCTTACAAAGCAAACCATGCAAGACGTCTCCACATTATCAGCCCCAGTCGACCGTCCCGGCCTGTGAACGAATCACATTGCACATTCCGCGCACCTTCGCAGGTGCCGGGAGCAGTTCGACCAGAAGCGATAAGTTGCTGAGCCTCGGGAACCTGCTGCGTCCATTCTGTTTGTTAGCTGCATAGCACTCACAAGGAGGTCTCCAGGCCAAGCTTTAAGGTGTTTAAGATGTACGCTTCATATGACCGCTCTGGTTGCGGTCACCCACAGCGAGTGATCCACACCAGCAAGCTAAGGAAGATCAGGGGTTTACGTGGAGCCTCGCAAAGCCAGCGCATGATTCTTCTCTGCTAGCTGGATACCGCTTCGTACAAGATCTCCAGACAGCAACACAAGAAGAGAAGGAAGCCCACGGCTGCAAGTCAACGCAAGGGTTTTCCAGCATCTACGGCAGTCATATTCCGCAAGAAGCAGTAGAGGCCTCTGTGTGTGTGTGTGTGTGTACGCGATGGATACCGGTTCTTGTGAGATCTCCAGGCTGCAGCTGAAGAACCTAACAATGACCGCGGCGCCTGGCAGAAGCAATCCATGAAGACTATGACCAAAGTTGAAATCGGACTATGACCAAAAGCTGAAATCGGAATTGCGCAGGCCCATGTTATTGCGACCACACACAGGGAGGGAGGTCGAGGAGGGGTCCGGGTGGTTTAGGGTTTAGGGTTTAGGGTTTAGGGCCTTAGGGTTTAAGGTTATGGAGTGGCGTGGACGCATTACATCAATGGTCTCCTGTTAGCTGAACAGAACTTCTTGGAAAGGTCAAGCGAGTATCCTCCGAGATGCCATTGGAATTCCAGCGTGCGAGTGCAGACTATAGGGTACGGAAATAGCACATGCCAGCAGGATTCAGGCCCTAATTACTCTTGGTTTACTAGCAACTTCAGTCCAGTGCACCGCATGGACACGGCGCTGCAGCGCTCCCAGAGCGAAAGTCTGCCTCATGCGCACCATGGCGGAGTCGGAGTTCTTCGTGGTGCTGGTCTGCAAACCATGCACACATGTTGCGCGCAAGCTGTTCTCCGTCGACCGCGTCGACAGGTGCTGGGCCGCTGAGATCCGTTTGTAGGACGCCGACACACACGCAGCATCCTCGATTCGGCCGTAGCGATATCAGGTGTTTCCTCGTGGAGGACATCTCGTCCTAGCATGCGGCAACAGGCAGTCGGACCTTCGGATCAGCCGCGCCAAGCAAACAGTGGCTGTATTTCAGGTTGCCATGCAGGGAGGCTGCTCTGTCTCGTTCTCGCTCTCGAGCTCATCCCAATCTGCTTCGGGAGTTGTCCAGCTGCAAGAACTTGCAGGACGCATCGGGAAACACGTGTTACAGCACATTGTCAATCCAGGTGCTCCCCTCACGACATGTCGCGGGTCCATCGCACAAGCCCGGCGTCGCCAACATTCTTTTTCCTTTCTTCTCTACATCCGTACATGGATTCAAACTCCGAAACGCAAATCAAGGGAATACACAGCTTGTTCTCTCTACTCTATTCCGAAATGTGCAAGAATCAACAATCCTCGTGTCTCCTGGCCAACCTTCTCCCTCCCTGCTGAAACTCGACCGAGGAGCAATCCTGAATCCGTTAAAGTGCCTTAAAAAGCAAACCAGACAAGACGTTTCCATGTCATCAGCCCCAGTCGACCGTCCCGGCCTGTGAACGAATCACAGTGCACATTCCGGGCACCTTCGCAGGTGCCGGGAGCAGTTCGACCAGAAGCGGTTAGTTGCTGAGCCTCGGGAACCTGGTGCGTCCAGTCTGTTTGTTAGCTGCATAGCACTCACGAGGAGGTCTCTAGGCCAAGATTTAAGGTGTACGCTTTATATGACCGCTCTGGTTGCGGTCGCCCACAGCGAGTGATCCACACCAGCAAGCTAAGGAAGATCAGGGGCCTACGTGGAGCCTCGCAAAGCCAGCGCATGATTCTTCTCTGCTAGCTGGATACCGCTTCGTACAAGATCTCCAGGCAGCAACACAAGAAGAGAAGGAAGCCCACGGCTGCAAGTCAACGCAAGGGTTTTCCAGCATCTACGGCAGTTATATTCCGCAAGAAGCAGTAGAGGCCTCTGTGTGTGTGTGTGTGTACGCGATGGATACCGGTTCTTGTGAGATCTCCAGGCTGCAGCTGAAGAACCTAACAATGACCGCGGCGCCTAGCAGAAGCAATCCATGAAGACTATGACCAAAGTTGAAATCGGACTATGACCAAAAGCTGAAATCGGAACTGTGCAGACCCATGTTATTGCGACCGCACACAGGGAGGGAGGTCGAGGAGGGGTCCGGGTGGAGTGGCGTGGACGCATTACATCAATGGTCTCCTGTTAGCTGAACAGAACTTCTTGGAAAGGTCAAGCGAGTATCCTCCGAGATGCCATTGGAATTCCAGTGTGCGAGTGCAGAACTAGGGTACGGAAATAGCACACGCCAGCAGGATTCAGGCCCTAATTACTCTTGGTTTACTAGCAACTTCATTCCAGTGCACCGCATGGACACGGCGCTGCAGCGCTCCCAGAGCGAAAGTCTGCCTCATGCGCAACATGGCCGCAGCCGTGCTCTCGCGATCGAAGTAACGCGCAGATCGAAGAGGTGCTTGCCGGGCTCCCCGTGCTTGGTCAAGGCTGCGCCAATGCTCGGACATGTTCCATCACCTTCTTCGTGGTCATCGACAGAGAGATGAGGGCGACGTCGAAGGTTCGCCCATTCCATGTGGTTTGGCCGCTCTCGAGTTCCAAAAGCCAACGAAGCAGCAGAATTCAGGAACCCTCTTAATTCTTAACTCGACCCTCCTCAAGGAGCATGATCCCCACGATCTGAAATCATTGGAATGCGTTACACAAGTCCGCCAAAGACAGCTAAGAGGAACGCCCGTTCCAACTGGCTTGTTTTTTTTCCCCGTTCTATTTCCACAAGCGACGGGTCTAACGTCTCCACAAGAGAAGCGGGCTTGACAACTCACAGAGCTCTGTGCTTCGGTCGACCGCCCCGGCCTGCCAAGATAGGCGACACTCGACTTGGACTGTCCCGAAGACGTCGGTACCTGCCACAAGCACAGGGGCGCTCAAGGTTCTCTACTCGTCGATCCATCCTAAAAAGTGCGACGGTTGCTGTCGGTCCTGAACCTGAAAACGCACGAGAAATGTCACGGCATGCAACAACCAACCTGACTTAAACACGGCGCTGGAAGCCTACCCTGCTGCCGCCGAGTGGGTCATCATCTCGCACAGACTACTGGCTAGCCAGAACGTGCAGAGACATAAAGGGGGCTCCCAGCAGGCACGTTAGCTCATATGTCCTGCTGTCATAGGAAGCAGATCCCCGTTGGCCTCAAGAGCCCGAAAATCCCAAACAGCGGCCCGCCACACCCGGCTAACGGTGTGGACTACAAGCTGCCCTGCACTAGCCATCCTTCAGAGAAGTGACACCCGGATAACGGCGTACAACTACAAGCTGCCCTGCAGTACGTTCTTCCCTCAAGGAAGCTGTGCGCGAAACAGCGAGTCCTGGGTAGCGGCCACACACATGCCTCAGGGGTTTACTCCTTAGGTAAGGCAATCCCGAAGAGGTTCGACTGGCAGTCTGCCTCGGCACTCTGCCTCTGTCGTCGATCCAAGAGAACAGAAAGCATGTGCTCAGCAGAAAGAGATATAGCCTAATCATGGGTTAGCGGCCTCCCCCATTTGCTGAAACCCACCCCACTCGGCCAAGGTGGGTCGCCATGCTCACAGGGAAATATTAAGATAACAGCCGAGCTGGCAAGTCAAAGATTCGTTCACTTCAATCGTTGAAATACAAATACAACTTGGACTTCAACACCATGCGCAAGCAACACCATTCTTCGGCCTCCCATGGAAGAGCCTGGGTCACCGAGGCTACGTCATTTTCGGGAGGGGCCACCTGGCACGTTAGCGCATGTGTCCAGATGTCATAGCCAGATGCCCGCTGGCCGTTGGCCCCCCCCCCCCTAGACTGCGGGACCCCAGTGCCCTTGCCCTCGCTCCTTATTCCTTATTTGCACACCGGAATCCAATATGTTTTCTATGGAATATATATCCATATAAATGTGCGAAGGTCCCTTGCTCGCGCAACTCTATTTTTCCACGTGGGATGCTACACTCCGTGCCGTCTTCCTTCAGACGGCTAAGGGGTAGGCTCAAAAATTCTGGGTCGGGAGGGCGGGACAAGTTTTCCCCGTGCCCACACTTGAGAGGAAAGTCGCCGGAGCCACCTTCATCTCACTGCCCGGAAAACTTGCAAACGTGATTCCTAATTTCAGTTTAAAACAAACATGAAATTTGTGCAAAACTGAATAAGGAGTTCATCCTTTCTGCTTCGGGAAGTTTAAAGGAGTAAACTCTTATTCCTTATTTGCACACCGGAATCCAATATGTTTTCTATGGAATATATATCCATATAAATGTGCGAAGGTCCCTTGCTCGCGCAACTCTATTTTTCCACGTGGGATGCTACACTCCGTGCCGTCTTCCTTCACCCCGATCATCTACGGCATGACCTGGTCCCACGGAATAGCACGCCTTGCAGCACCTCTTTTTAAAAGAGGCTCAAATTCCAGCCGTGAGGGATTGTCTGCTATGTTGCAAGCAGTCGGTACGCGAGCGAACCACGTCTTCAGCTGCAACGTGGTTTCAAGCTGAAGGAAAGATTCAATCACAGAGTTGGCGAGTGCGCTACCGCCAAAGGTTCGGATCAGAGAATGGCGAGCACCATCATTGTCAAGATAGAACACTACTTGAGCTCCTTTCAAGCGATCGGCCCAAATGATAAGGCTGATCAGTGCTGGAATCAACTCAAGCTCGAAAATGGGATTCGCACTGATGCTCAAAAGCTGCTGCATCAAATCGCTTGGAACTGCCTCACCGAAGAACTCGCACGGAGTACCAGAGGCATTCACAAGGACGCCTCCGACACCTCCCGTGCCTTCCTCTGGATTGCAAGCCCCGTCAGTGAAAACGATCAGCGTTGTGATGAGGTTTCGCTCGACAACTAAAGGCTGGCTCATGGCTATTCTTTCACGAAGCCACGTCAACGCCCACATCAAATCTTCAGTAAGATTCTGAGGGGCAGACTTTTCCACGCACTTTGCAACAACTCGCTGAGCCCGATTAGAAACCCTTCCAAAGGTGAAACCCTCGAAGAAAACCATACGACCCCTAAGGCGTTCGGCAGCCTTCGAGTCGATCTTTCCTTCCTGAAGGATGGTTTGGATGTACTCGGTGAGCTCTTCCTTTCGCTTCTGAGTATGACCCACACGAAGGATCCGCTGCTTCACACAAGACAGATCAACAGAGAGGCCGAGCATGTTGAAGGTAACTCCGAAGGGTTCGGCTTTGGACCCGTCCTTGGCGAAGCGGAAACCAAGCAGGTCAAACAAAGTTTCCACAGTCCACTGGGCGTTCGATTCCAGGCTCTTCGCAGAAACTATGCTGCAGTCATCGAAAAAGGCAGACCAGAATAGCCTGAAAAGGACTATTCCGATCTTCCACAAGGCGACACTTATCCTTAGGAAAGCAGCGACTGACCCCACCCCTCCGAAGGGGAGGGCGTTTACGCCCAGGAAGCTCGGCTTGTGGTGGCCTGGCCTGTTGACAGCAATGCGTAGCCTTTCACGGTCAGCAGCACACACACCAAATTGCTTGTACGCTGCCGTAAGGTCGAAAGTTCGGCCGCAGCACTCAGGCATAACACCGGACACGACATCAAAAGCATGAGCCATCATGGCCGCAAGCTTATCTATCGTATGCAAGCAAAACTTTTCCAGCAAGCCCACTGTCGCGTTTAGGCCGCAACAAGAAAGGTCATCGATGACCCTCAATTTGTTCTGCATGATTCCGAAGCGCATAGCAATCGAGACCATCTCAGGAACCGGCCCTTCCTCAAGCCACACCCAACCTGCGTCAATCTCCTTTTGGGTTTCAACCCAGGTGGATTCTTCAATTTCGGAATTCTGCCTCCTGGACAGCTTTTGCAAGGTTGCTTTGTTCAAGCCCTTCGACAAAACTCCCAACGTCTCGACACTGAATTTGGGCCTTCTGGACCTCGGCACAAACTCACCCGACGCAGGAAGCCAGCCCGACAACTTGAAACCTTTGCATATATCAGAAACAAGGTCAACATCCTCACACCCTGCGGCCCTCATCATCTCTTGGAGAAGCAAGAGCTTCTTTCCTTTAAGTATGGGCCGCAGGTGATCAGGGAGATTTCGGTGAAGTTCCTGCTCCTTTTCCCTGAGGGCACCTGCACGACCAATCCAAAACTTCATTGCATCAATCCTGAAGGCCGCAAGTTCTGCCGGGGGAGCCTCAAAGTTAGCACGTGCACTAACTGTGACGAAAGGCTCAACATGGACTGCCAAGGACCGTGGGTGTCCTGCCGCAATAGCTCTCTCAACAAAGACATCTTCAGAGCACGGTACACCGACTTGCACAAGCTCTGCACAAGCAGGCGGATGCAAAGGGTCCAAGCCCACGATGTTTGTTTTTAGCTTGCCAACTCCTTCGAGGAGACTCTTCAGCGAACCCCACTCACACACGCGTCTCGAGAAGATTCTGGAGCCCTTTGGAAGGGAAGAAAGCACAGCTTCCAACGGCTTGTCATTTTGCACTGGCACAACAAAATCCAACGTAGTGTCAAACTCCCACACAAGCGAAGGCAAGGAGTTTCCCCTGGGTTGAGTGCCCAGATTTATCCTGGCGACATTCGCAGAAGGATCCTGTATTGCCTGTGCAAGCACACGTGGCCCGAAGGACAAGCTGGGATGCGCATGGACGATGCAACCAATGATACGATCGACGAGGAGCGGCGGAAATTCGGGTTCATCTGCTGTGATGAAGCTCACCCGCTTCCTTTTCGAAATGAAAGGTCGCCACGGTTTGTGCTCGTGCGACCCGTCACAGCGACCCGCAAGCATGCCAAAAACGTCCTGAACTTGATTTGAAGATGCCAAATGCTTTGAGGTCGGCGTTGCATCCGGATGGCTTGCCGACTTTGCGTGGTCGTGATAAACTCCAGGTTGAGCGTGCAAATCAACTGTTTGATCAGCTTGCAAACATTGCATGTGAGGCTTGTGATCTTGGAATCCTGACAGTCCTGGAGAGTCCTTCTAACAGCCGTTATTGGGACACCTCCTTCTGTGCTAAGGTGACAAATCATGTGCAGGGTCACTTTGTAAAATTCCATGCCTGTGTGCATGGAGGTCACAGACCGTTCACGCATGAAAGATGCGGTGCCCACCGGAGGTGAGATGAAAACACAGATGACGTGATGATACTCAACTCGCAAGAAATCGACAACTGCTTCAGCCTGGGCTGGATCACTCAAATCCATGATGACAACTTGTTCACCAGCCCGCCTTCTAGAGGAATCAATTGCAAAAGGCCGGAAGCCTAACTTAGCAGCTGCCTTACTAAGAACAGCTGTCCCAGCGCACAACTCAACGAAGTACATTCCCGCCGCCGACTGCTGGACACTGCTGGCATCACGCTGCGACGGCCTAACAGGGGAGAGGCACCTAGGGTCCCAGGAAACCACAAAAGGGCCTAAACCCAAAGGAGACACAGAAAACCCGAGCCGCTCAGCGACAGCTCGTAATTCAGGCCGGAGCTCCTCGCACTGACGCACCGAATAAGCAAGCATGACAACTCTGCGACCTTCCCACGGCCTAGTCTCATGAAAATCTTTAGGCTTCGAGAAAAAGGTGGGGCCGGCGGCCACATCAAGCAGGCATCCCTCCAAAGAAGGGTCATTCAACGAAGCGACATCACCTCCAACCTTCTGAAACCAAAGTTCACCGTTCTCAAAGTCCGTCAAAGGCACCAACAATGTAGGGCCATCACGATTGTTCTCGTCGCGGTGCAATCCTGAGGCAAGATTTTCATGGATTGCAAGTGAAGAGTAACTGAATGCAGGGCACACCCGACTCACAAGCAGGTTGAAAACCTTGATAGAAAACGGGAACATGTCCATAGACCTATGCAAACCCAAAATACCGCCACGCCGGTAGACGCCCATGCTGAATCGAGCTCCACCCGATCCCTGAAATGCCCTAGGAGGATTTTGCGCCTCCTGAGGCAAAAGCTCCAAAAGATCCAGAGCTGCACTGGCTGTCAAGCACGACGGCTGCCGCAAGAGAAACTTCGCAAGAGCTTCAGGATCAGTGAACTGCGGCCTATTTGGGCGAGGACTAGAACCAAATTTAGGGGTATCAGGTGACACTGCCATTGGCACTTCCAGCTGACCGCTGGGCTTGGGTGAAATTTGCGCCTGGCCTTCACAAGGAGATTTCCTCGGCTCGACCTGCGACTTCATCGAGTAAGAGCCCTCGCCTTCAACGCTTGCAACTTCTCTTGAAGAAGTGTCTTATCATTCAAGATTGACCCTTCCGCCGGTCCCCGCACCTGCTCGAGAGCACGGTACACCAACGGCCGAGTCTGCTCTCCAGCGGCTGCTGCACCAAAAGTGCAGTCCTCACTGTGAGAAGAATCATGCAACACAACGGGCGACAATGACTCAGATAGTCACTCTTGCGCCTTGGCTTTGCACGACACTGCTGAATGCCCCGGCCTATGACACTTCGCACAGATGTGAAGGCCGCGGACACACTTAAGCCCTCCCTTGCACTTCTCAGTCTTAAGAGAGCAGCCTGAGGCAAGATTGAAATCCCAACAAACATTTCCATCTTCTGTCCTGCAAGAGTACTGCTTCAACTCTTCTGGCACAGTCCTACGGATGCGCGCCTTCACCTTCGCCTTTGCTTTTGCCTTGGCCTTCCCCTTCGGGACGGGCTGGGAGGAACTCCCCGCCCCATCATCCACAGGCACTGCCAAGACAGGAGCTGTCTGCTTCGGAAGCGGCAACAGGAACTGCTGAAGACGGACATCATACATCATTGCCGAAAATTTTGCATCAAGCGGCGAAACCCCGAGCGAGTCCACCTTGAAAGGAGGCACAGCCTCCCTGGCCAATAGCAGAAAAAGCTCCTTATCCGCACGCATGCATTGATTCAAACTGACTGGGCTATAACTCGGTGGCGGGGTTGCTGAAAGGCAATCCAGCATCTTCTGAACCCACCTCTGATGCACATCCCAGGACAGCAGGTGACAGTTGTCAAAAGCTATGCCTCTTCGCATCATGGCCCACTGAAAACGCAGAGGATCCGAAACATCACAAGCGATAGCCTGGTCACCAGGCCCCACCTTTATGACGTTTTGTTCCACCTGCAACAAAGAGCTCCTATCCTTGCCCAATGCAAGGACCTCAGCTTCCCTCTTGGCACATTTCGACGCAGGGATCCAAGTAAGAACTCCGGACTCGTATTGCTGATTTGCTATGTCAAGAAGCTGATGCGAAGGCTCAAGCTCTCCAGAAATTTCCATTCCTGAAAGTCGCCGCCTCTGGAATTCCAGCCTGGCCCGTTTTTCAGGAACCGGAACCTTCCTGGTGTGCGATGGATCAGACGGGTCGTTGGTGACCATGTCCCTGTAAGTCTGAACCACTAGAGTCGTGGCCTCGAAATGCAGATGCCGCAAGATTGCGGTTTGCCCCATGGTATAGGAGCAACTCCGTACACCTTCACACTGAATTCGTCAAACTGAGCCTCCGTAGGCGGCTGCTGAGGCGACCCTATCGCGAAAGCCAATGTCTTGAAGCACCTGATGCCTTGTGCCTCCAACTTGGTATGCAGAGTCGCATCCTTCGAAGCTTCAGCACATCTCTGCTTAAAGGCAGCCTCGCTTTCGATCACGGTCGACATGTTCGGAACCTACGCACCCTAGCAGCACCAACCTACAACGTGAGAAAACGCACTCAAACTCCATGTAAATCTCTCAACATGTTTACATGTAACAATCTGCCATGGATCACATCTCGGGCCTCCGCGAGCGAACAAATCAAAGCCTACTCCACGGAGTGCGCACATGCGAGCAGAAAACATGCAACTGAAGACTCGCAAACAGGGCTCACACTCGGTTATTAGCCGCCTCGCTCAAACGTTCTTGTTGCAGATCCTACACTTGCTGAAGTCCCACCGGAGGTCCTCTGCCCGTATCTTGACATGCAGAGATCCTATGGCCCTTCCGCAGGCAAAAACCTTAGTGTAGCCGGTAGGGGCAAAATGCACCACTCTCGACTTCTCGTGCCTCCACACATCATGACCCTCGGGAACATTCACTACCAGCTTCGAGAACGGTCCCTCGGCCTCCTCCGGGCAAGAGTCGCTGGAGGAAGAGTCCGTAGTGATATGCCCGGTGGCCTCAGCGTCGAGGGCTTCCTCATCGCCTGCAAGGTTATGAGCAGCATCAGCCCCTTCGCTAGGAGAGGGCGGGTCATGTTCCTCCTTTATCACAACTACCTCTGTCCGCTGCTGCGAGTCAGCGGCTTTGCCCACCAAGCGCCCGCTACGAGTCTCATCTGGAAGAAAAACTCGATCCCTTATCTCCTTGATCATCCGCTCCAAGATCATCAAAGGATGAGCTGCAGAATCACGGGAGTATGTCAGGGCCATGCGGTGCGGCGTCGTGTGATATCCCAACAGCTGCCTGTCGACTATGCTGATTCCCCTCTTTGCCGCATAGCTCAACATGGTACACTTGCAGCTGTGCGATGATAGCTTTCTGTCAGCTTGCTTCGATCCCGAACCCGTTAGCAGATGTCTCAGCCACCTGCCCATCTCCTCAGTGTCCAGCGGCCTGACACTAGCAGCACCAGACTTGTCCGGCGCCGGCATGACAGGAAATTCCGGAGGATCTGGAATGTTGAGTTCCTCTCTAGCAAGT